CATAGGCTTCCACAGCCGAAGTTAATAGTCTAGGAGGTGGTGTCTGCCGGTCAGTGAAGAATCTACTAACTCTGTATCAACTGTGATTGATTCGTTTCTTCCTAGTCCCCGCAGGGGAAAGGCGGAGGTGGGGTGACATACGCAAGACTTGAGGCTCTAGGTGGAAGCGGAGACGCCCATCCGGTGCCTGAGTCTGTCGGCGGCACTCACGTCGTTAGGTTCATGGAGGCAGTGAGTAAGCGATGGTGAGCTCCGTGTCGCCAGGTTCGCCCGGTGATCCACCAGTTGGACCTACGGTGCGCCGACCTTTGGGAAGTATTTACTTGGCCGTCCGGGTGTCGCCGCGTCCATGGCGAAGATTTCGACGTTTCGGTCGCCATTCTGCGACCTTTCTCAGGGCGAAATTCCCTGATTTCAGAAAGAGACATTCGGAGAGAGAGAGAGCATTTCGCCCTGAGGAAGGACGCAGAATGGCGACCGAAACGTCGGCACCTTCGCCATAGACGCGGCGTCACCCGGACAGCCAAGTAAATACTGACTCCAGCCGCGAAAGCCTACGCTCTCACTTGACCTTGGGGTAGGATTTGACGAACATTTCTCGGAATGCTTCGGATCCCAAATATAAAAGTCCAGTCGGGGTGCATGTACCCAGCTGTCGGGTTGGCTAGGTTCCAGCAGTACTCACGTCGATAGCTTCAGGGTGGGGGCAGTGAGGAGACGGGCTGGAGGCCCCGAGCCCTCGGGCTTTAGCACGGGTAGCACCCAGTTGAGGACTTGGCTTCGTCGTGACCGTGGCCACGACGAAGGGCATAGAGGGGGGACCTTGCCCGGTGCATTGTGAGTGGCGCATTATTTCGACTTCAGCCCTGGACTCAAAAGCCAGTAGCTCTGAGCCGGAAGGGTGACTCGACCCAAGCATTGAATGGGGACGTTTCCGAGAGGGATAATTGTTTTCCGGCGGGATCCTGATACCAATAGACCAAAGTGTGCGGAAGTGAGAATAAAGGCGAAAACCTAGTGTCCACTCCGGGGATTTATCAACCCGGTAAAAAAAATGAAGTGCGAGACCACGACACTTCCTAGAAAGATGTCGGGGAAGAAGAGATGGAAGTATGTGCATCGGGTTTTTTGCCCTCTCGAGAGAGGAAGCGCTAAAGGTTATCTGCTCCCGCGTTCACGTCTAGTGTCCTAGGATCCCACCGACGTTCTTCACATTAAGGAATGAACGCTTTTGAATTCAAGTTTACATTTTGATGTTGTATGCTTTATAATGTAGGATAATGGGCAATGCAAATCAGTTGCATATTCCTTGAACTTGCTTCTTCCTGTTTGCTGTACTTATGTTTCTAAATTATGTATTTATATATGTTGACTTCCTTGGCAAAACTTTTTATTTTTCTTTGGCAATCCTTAATGTCTAGAATTGTTTCGTAATCGAACTCCAAGCGATTTTGTATAATGGGCAGTGAATTCAGATATGTTGTTCATGTATTGGAACTGAACGTACAGTGATCACATTTTGGAAGGGGTTTACTATCTATCAAGTGTACACGAGACAGTTCGCTGTGTTCAGTTCTTAACCTAGTAGTATCTACATGTTTTTTTGAGAGTAAAGTCTTTGTAAGTTCTTATTAATTTTGCCTTTTAAAATATTTATTGTTCCTTCGAGACCTCTTTGTGTTTCACTAGCATTCTTAGACCTCCATCGTTTGTGAAATATATTTTGTATTTTGTTAAGTATCACCATTTGAATGTATTCTAAATTACTATTGTGCCTCTGGCGGATACGTAGGTTGTCATTTCTTCAGCAGGAGAGGTACATTTTGTTTGCCTTTCTGAATCGAAATCAAAATTTTAAATTTTTAAGTAACGTGCCTTCACTATTACTTGAACTCGTGGCTAGCTGTTGGTCAGCGTGCTCTCTTTCCATTACGCAGCCCCGGGTTCGATTCCGGTTCGAGGCACGATTATATTGTGCGTTTTCCTTGCAATGTCTCAGTTTATGTTACTGGGTGCCGAGAAAATTCACTTCTCAGGTTGAGAAGACCGGAATACGGCGGGGGGATGTCTACGTGCTAACCACACGAACTCCCTTAACCCATGGCCGCGAGGCTGGGACGTCGCCGGTAGGCCTAAGCCCGTTCACGGGCTGTCGCGCCAAGTGCATACATACTGCATTGAAGAAACTTTGGAACATACCGCTATTACTACATATTAAAAACTTTTGGGGTTATTTTATGTGAAATATTAAATATTCTTTGTAGATTAAATTGCCTACATAGTCTACATGTAAAGAGAGTCGTGTAGACTACATGAAGATACGTGTAGAAAAATTATGGTCTACAGCCCAACTCTGCATGTAGGCACGGGGTTAATGAAGCACTTCATGAATTGATTCATTAATATCATTTATATATTTTTCGAAATAATATTATATTATTCGGGAATAATAATATATAATTATTATTATTTGAATGCCGGACTGTGTATGTACATGCATTGATCGCTCCTTGAAAATTGCGAATCATACATGTTTTATCGTCAGGTAGTGTTGACATCCTTGAATTCCATCCTTTTAATTGCTGACATGGTTTCTTCAATGCAGTGATGAGTGACAGATGAATCAAATAATTTATTGGCATGACCTCTTTTAGCAAGGTGTCCGTTCTATTTATTTTATTGATAGGTGGTTTTCAAGTTATATTTCCTTTCTTGTTAGATTGGTATTGGAAAATCCCTCGATACTTATTCTTACAGAAAGAATTTGCCGATAAGATTACAAAATCTTTCAGTTTAGCATTGACGATGCGTGTTGAAATCGCTGCTAATGCTTTATGGCTCAATACATAAGCAAGGTTCTCAGCTAGACCCGGCGGATAATGTGGGTGGCCATACCCACACGAAAAATTCTGAGTAGATAAAATACGCTGCTTCCACCACCATACAAAAAATGCAAATAGTCCAAAATAAAGCCCTTAAGAAGTCAATTAAAGCTTCATGGTTTATACCCAACCATCAAATTCACAGAGAACTCCAAATGGAAATCGTTCTAGAATACATAAAAAAGAGTTGCAAATAATTTCTATTCTTCCCTTCCCTCATGTCATGCCTCTCTGAAATTCCGCCTAGGCTGAACAGCAAATATCCCATGTCGAATCAAATCTAAATTTCTCAAAAATATGCATAAATATCTCTGAACTAATAATATCAACTCGTATCTCTGTAGAATCTTTCTTGTTTCCCTTCCTATTGCTCGACAGGGCAATCCTATGAGATTATCCCCCTCCCTCTCCCAAAAAAATCAAGATTAAATTCCAGTAACTTCTGGAAGAAAACGAATGAAGTAAATGAGCCAGAGTATTTAACCTCAATTTGTCACGGAATGCCTAAATCACCCCAAGAAAGTCAGCATGTAAAACAGTAACCCCTCGAAAGACCTTTGGTCAAACGAGAAGAAATAAATTTTTAAAAAAGCATAAAATACCCACTCGGCATACGCGGTGAGAGAAATATTCCATAAACGTCAAATTCCAGAAAGAAACGAAGTTTCTCGGTTTTGCGTGACTAAAAATGTATATGCGATCAACTGTATTGCAAAATTTACTCAGCAGTATAGCTATTTACAAGTTTATAGCGACATAACCAATAAAATCGATTTGAAACAATATTAAATGACTTTATATGGAAACTGCAAAGCGCAGCATTTTTGCATTGCAAAAATGAACTGCTGAAGTTACATAAAATAAACGTAATACTAATTTGGTGTCAGTTTAACGATAAACATTACAATCTGAGAAGATCCTGTTTTTTAATTTTTCCTTCATTCACATGTTCGGTGGAAGGGATAGGGGGATCCCCCTCCTCCCGGGACAACTACCCACTCGGACATAACAGCAATCGCTGGCCCTCTTGTCAGTAAAATACAGGCAGGGAATGGGGATAAGCTTTCCACTTCATTTCTAGAAATTCGAT